GGTCGCCATCTAAGGAAGCACGTGCCTGGGGTTTAGGGGTTTAGGGGTTTAGGGTTTAGGGGTTTAGGGGTTTAGGGGTTTAGGGTTTAGGGGTTTAGGGTTTAGGGTTTAGGGGTTAGGGGTTAGTTAGGGGTTAGCGTTTAGGGTTTAGGGCACAAGGAGCTCGTGCCTGGGTTCTTTAGACTCTTTTCTACTCTATTTGAGTATTCTGCACTATAAGGTATATTCACTTTATGGTGCCTGTGTACATACACGTATGTGTATACACACATATACTACGCGAAGGTTAGGGAGCTCGGTTTAAAGATACATCATAGGGATATACGAGTGCTACAGAGGGACTAGGGCACACCATAATGCGGGTCTAGGGGCGGGGCATATCAGAAGAGGGGTCTAGGCAGCTTAGGGTTACGGACTTAGTAATCATAGACATGAGGTGGTGTCTTTAAAAACGACAGCTTCACTTGAATTCCTTAACAAGCACCCAGGAACTTGACGCACTGTCACCACAGATTCCAAGCGACCAATCTCAGCAGGGGCTGACCATCTTCCAGCCATTCAAGCCATCAAAAATGCATGCACGAATTTATGTATAGGTATGCACAAAACTACCATTAGTAGACAGATACACAGATAGATCGACATTAACATTTTGCTCCGGCTTCTTTAACCTACTCTATTCTATGTGTTCTCCTCGTTGCATTTTCTTCTTTATACATATATATTTATACTGTATGTATATATATATATATATCCATTCCCATGTGATTTCTAGAAAATAAACAAAATGTATACACACACATATATATATATATATATGTACTATGTGTATGTAGAAAATATACTTAAACCAAAACCCTAAGACCTTTGAAGGAAAGACATTCGTTGGACACATCTCACGATCAAACCACATGTGACAAATCTTACAGACCTGCTTATGCCCGCACTCAGCCTTGAGCAATAGCCTAGGGGGTTGGTGTGCAGAGCATAGCCTGTCAAGTTGCTAATGTCAGGATGTAGGGCTTAGGGTTTGGGCTGGGTTTCTTCTTGCTACAATTTCTGTGCCTACGTCCTGTCACTATGACTTGTGTAAACTTAGAGCTCAAGCCGTGATTCCTCGAAGCCTTTCGAACTCCGATGGGTTCTTTTGGAAACCCATTGCTATATACATGCATGGAAGAGCATGCAGTGACAACTGTGTAAATACATGTATATACAAGCCTAAGTGTGCATGTGTATCTAACTCTATATATGCATATGCACACACACACACTGGATACATATGTGCATATATGTATGTACGTATGTATGTATGCATGCATGTATGCATGAATGCATATATGTATGTACGTATGTATGTATGAATGCATGCATGCATGCATGCATTTATGTATGTACGCATGCATGCATGCATTTATGTATGTACGTATGTATGTAGGTAGGTATGTATGTAGGTATGCATGTAGATATAATGTATGTATATATATATATATATGCATGAATAAATGAAAAATGAGTGAAGGAATGAATGAATGAATGAATGAATGAATGGATGACTGAATGAATGGATGGATGGATGGACGGATGAATGGAATGAACGAAATGAACGGAATGAACGGAATGAAAGGAATGAAGGAATGAAGGAATGACTGATCCAGGAAATCAGTGAAAGAATGAATGAATGAATGCATGTGCTAGTAAGAGCATGAATGAACGCATGAATGAAAGACTGAAAGAAGGAATCAAATAATGAATGAATGAACGAACGAATGAACGCACGGACGAATGAACAAACAAACAAATGAATGAATGAACGGTCCAGTGTATGTATGTATGTATGTATGTATGTATGTATGTATGTATGTATGCACGTATGTATGCGTATATGTATGTGTGTATGTATGTATGCATGTATGTATGTATGTATGTATGTATGTATGCATGTATGCACACATGCATATATGCATGTTTGTGCACACATCCAAATACATACACATATGCACGCCAGTGAACGTAAACAAATATACACGTGCATATGCACGTATGCAACACACACGGTATATAAGTAAACATGTATGTATGTATGTATGTATCTATGCATCTATGCATATATGCATATATGCACGCAAGTGTGCCTAGAGGGTACAAGAAGTCATGCTTCAAATCCTTCCCCCATCCAGCCGACCCCAGGATTCGGGCTTGTCTACCCTGACGCCCTAAGCCCTTAATAGGGCCCCAAAAAAGCACATAAGCAAAAATTAGGATAGGGATATCCCATATAAATCCCCTTATAATGAAGCCCATAAGGTAGGGATATCGCTATAAAGAGGCTTATGCTTATGTGCTTTTTGGGTCCCTACCTTAACCCCGAAACCCCAATGACCCAATCCTCGATGTAAACCCTGGGCCCTGACACTAAGGCACAAGACGAATGGCGAATCCCAGACCCTATAAGTCTATAAACCCTTAGCTGCCAAAATCCAAAGTTCGAAACCTATGCCGAAAAACCAAACATCAAAGCCCCAAGCCCCAAAGCCCTACAACCCGATTGCACACCCGGAAAAGCCCCCAGAATAAAAGCCTCTTGAAACCCCACCAAAGCCCCAAGTCCATAGCCCTCGAAAAAACTCGATGTGCACCTCTTCGCCCTCTGAGTCCACATCCCACAAACGGGGCTTCCTGTCGCTTTCGGGCTTCGTGGCCCCTAAACCCTACATCCGACGGGTTTAGGGTTTAGGGAACCTCTCCCACAAACGGGACTTCGTGCTTTCGGATGTTGGGTGCTCATTGTACCGTGCAGCAGAAGAGGTGACAAACCTGCGTGGGTCCCGAAGGTTGTGAGATGAGCTGATCAGTGAGTCTCCCGCTCAATGAATCTAAACCCGAAGCCTAAACCCTAAACCCTAAATCCTATCCGGAGGTGCACTTCACAAAGGTGAGGCCTAAATCCTAAACCGAAATACGTAGACATAGCTTTGTAGGAGGCAAGTGTGCTCGGGAGCCAGGGTCTCAGACGAGATTCACAACATCTCTGCATGAACCGTAGGAAATAAGATCTTTCCTACATAAACCCTAACCCTCCAGGTACCTACTATATAGGGCCCTGGGGGCTCTAGTACCCTATATAGTAGGGATGAGACAGCCCTAGTCGCACTACCCATAGAGACCCTTAAACCCTAAGCCCTGAACTTTCACGACGAAACGCAGACCTGATTTGTCTTTCCCTCCCGCGGCCTCTGGCGCTCCTCTTTCTTTGCCTTGAATGCCTGACATCTTGTAGTCGGGGAGAGAGCGATTGAGTTGGTTGGTTTAAGGTTCAGGGTTTCGGGTTTCGGGTTTAGGGGTATGGGGTTGGGAGAAGAGTTCGTGAGACGAGCCCGTAAAGCCCCAACCCGGAGCCGCTAGACCCTAAATTCCTCAACCCTAGACCACTAAACTCCAAAACCCCACATCCTGGACCCTGAACCCTAAACCCCTCAACCCCTAAGCCTGCGATCCGACTCCCTAACTAAAGAATCCTTGTAGAATTCGGTTTAGGGTTTAGGGTCTAGGGTTTAGGGTTAATACCTGTATATAACCCTCACAGAAACCAAAAACCTAATAGCAACCTTTACCTCCCTAAGTAAACACTTTGGGGTGGGCTCAGAGTATGGGCTCCAAGCTCTCAAGGCACGGGGCTGCCTGGATGACTTTTCGAACTCAGGTTCCCGGCAGATCCTTTGGTTTTGAGGTACCTCATTAAAGCCCAAAACTGGCCCAAAACCCTCAACCTAAACCCTAAACCTTAAACCTTAAACTCTATAAACCAAAAAAACCCTAAACCCTACAAGCCCTAAAACCCTAAACCCTAAACCGCCTTTTTGACTTTACTGGAGCTTGGAGGCGCAAGTTGTGGGCTGGATGTCCGAAGAGGGTTTAGGGTTTAGGGTTAGGGGTCTCAATCTCGGGCGAAGGGCTTGATGTAGGGGCCTTAAAAATTAGAATAGGGTTTTGGGGGGCTTCGTTATTAGAATTATAGCATACTATACCCCCCAAAACCCTTTTCGAATTATAAAGGCTCCTATGTTAATCAAGGTTCTAGGCAGGACTGGGAAGGCTTGAGACTTCTGTGCTGGAGTTCTCCATGGTGTCACCTGCACTTCCTAGCTCGGATCATGTGTATGTGCGCATGCGTCCCCCCTAGTGCACATCTTCCGGTATGTTTGTTATCAAGGGATGTTGCAATAGTGTATATCTTGGCTTACTCAGACCTAATATCGAAAATTCGCCATGGGCAGTAGACTCTTGAAAGCCTTAACCCTAAACTCCAAAACCCCAGACCCTGATTGCGAAAACACTAAGCCTGAAGGTAAGCCGTCTTAGCACTGTAAGGCTTAGGGCGAAGGGATGGTGAGGTTCACAGGGTTTCGAAGTTAAGACAGTAAAATTAAGGATGTAGTGTTCATAAAGCAGTTTTGGACAGTTTCGGTATGGGATTCACGGCCAGGCTCCTCGCATTTGCGTTCAACAGCAGAACCCGTCCCACAACAAGCTTGGGTGTTTAGAGTTTAGGGTTTAGCGTTTAGGGGTTTAGGGTTTAGGGTTCGTTTAGGGTTTAGGGTTTAGGCGTTTAGGGTTTAGTTGATGATGGTTGACCTCGTGGTTCAGCCTGCGCAACGACGAGGGGCATTCGGCGTTTTAGACATGCACGACAGCCTGACCAAAATGGATTGTAAACGCACAGGCCTTCTTGGCACCGGCCTAGCCGCAGCACGAGTGCAACTTCAATGTGGCCTCCATGAGAAGAAATCAGCAGAGCACAGAAACCATTCGGTGTTGTTGGCAAGTCCGTGACGGCTGGGAACCGGCGTCCAGCAGAACGCGTGCAACTCCGACGTGGCCTGCTTGAGAAACGCTCATCAAAGCAGTGAGGCCGTCGTTGTCGGCAACGTCCGGGTTGGCACCGGCCTCTAGCAGAAAGCGCACCAATTCAATGTGGCCTTTCGTAGAAGCGAGCATCAAGGCAGTGACGCCGCGGTTGCTGACTAACTCCTTGTTGACACCGCCCTCGACCAGCAAGCGTGCAACTTCCGCATGGCCTCCGTGAGAGGCGTACATCACTGCAGTTGAGAGGCGTACATCAGGGCATTGAAGCCATCATTGTTGGCAAGGTCCTTGCTGGCACCCGGGTCCAGCAGGACACGTGCAACTTCCGCATGGCCTTTGCTGGAAGCGATCATCAACGCAGTAAGGCCCCTGTTGTCGGTTAACTCCTTGTTGGCACCTGCCTCCAGCAGCAAGCGCACCAATTCACTGTGGCCTCTCCTAGAAGCGAACATCAAGGCAGTGACGCCGCGGTTGTTGTCGGCAACGTCCTCATTGGCACCGGCCTCTAGCAGAAAGCGCACCACTTCAACGTGGCCTCCCCTAGAAGCGATCATCAAGGCGGTGACACCACGGTTGTTGGTTAACTCCATGTTGGCACAGGCCTCTAGCAGCACGCATGCAACTTCCACATGACCTTCCTGAGAAGCGATCATCAAGGCAGTGAAGCCGAGGTTGTTGGCAAAGTCCACGTTGGCACCTGCCTCCAGCAGCAAGCGCGCAACTTCAACGTGACCCTCAAAGACGCCATCGCCAGTGCACTGTCGCCGACTGCATCCGTTAAGTTGGGGTCCTGCGGCTTTTGCAGCAGGGACTCAACCTGCGGGCGCTCAAGCTGGATGTTCAGACAAGACGACCCAGCTAGTTACTGGTGTTAGGGTTCGGATTGAAGGTATGGCCAAAAAAAACGAGCCTCGACGGCGAAGCCGTTCCTGGCAGCAGTCACCAGCTCATCTGCTTGGGTCTGAGACGCCGGATGATAGGAGAGCAGCAGCTCCAGGTCCCGAAGCGAGTCCAGGTTGGCAGCATCATGTTGGAGGCTGCCTTCATGAAACAGTCTTTGCTTGAACCGTGTCGGCAAACTGTGCAGCCGACAAAGTCGCTGCTTCAGTGACTTCACATCGCTCAAGGCCGCCACAGGTATGCTCGCCACCGGATCACCCGAGAGCATCCTAAGGCGCAGCATTGTCGTGGAAACCTGGCATAGCCGATACCTTAACCTACCAAAACCTACTTTCTTATAGGGCCCCTATAAATTCCATGTTAGGGTTATTGGGCAGGACCTTGAGCCTGACACTTGCCTGGGAAAGCTAGTGATAAATAGTACACGTGCCGAACTTGGAGTGATACTGCGAGCTCCTGCTGAGGCATGTAGCACACCTGCATGTAGAGTTGTGCAACGTAACTGAGCATGCTTCAATGTAAAGTCTTTGAAACCAGCTGCACAAAGTAGGGTTATGCCTAGGACAACCCCCCAAAAAGGCACACTTAACTCCACGAGAAAACACAAACTTACTAAATACCCTGAGCCCCGAAACCGTAAACCCCAAATAAACTATAAACCCTAAACCCTAAACCCTGAGCCCTAAACCCTAAAACCCCCCAAACCCTAAACCCTAAAACCCCCCTAAACCCTGAGCTCTAAACTGGTCAAGTAGGCCCCGGCCCGGGTCGAAGCCCCGGAAGCCCTCAACCCCAAAACTTCAAGTCCTTAACCGCAAGACCTTGGAGCCGTGAATTTGAGGCATAAGCTGTGTAGGATTTTGGTTCGGTAGCTGCAGACATTCGGGTACTATTTGGGCATTCTCAGAAGCATGGGGGTTTGGGGGAGCTCTTAGAGTCTTTGATTGTTTATATCGTATAGCCCGAATAGTTACCTACATCATTCCACAGGGCTCCTTCAAAGAGAAACGACAACAAACCCCAAAGCGCTATTCTGCTTATGAAGGCTCCCTACCTAAACTAGGCTGGAGGCCCTGAGACCCTGCAAAGCTTTGGGTTCAACTGACCCGGCCGTGTCGTGCACGTTGGTGGGTGAAGAGGCTCTATGATTCAATGATTGCATCTATTCTTTACATTTATGTAGATTTTAGGGTTTTGGGGTTTAGGGTTTCGGGTTATATATACGTGTACATAAAACACAGACAGCTACACACATAGATACTAGCTTAGAAGCCCGAAGCCCTATAAACCCTAAATCCTGAGCCGGTCTTTAGGACGGTGGGTGCTATGTTCTCTTCGTTGTAACCTCCACGGCGCAAGGCGACGATCCAAATCAGCCTTCAAACTTGGCTATGTAAACGTCTTGGTGGGATCCTGTTCCCTAAACCCTAAACCCTAAACCCTAAACCCAAACCAGTGAAGCGACGTAATCTTCAATACTAAGCCCAGGGATTGGGATTCGGGGTGCAGTGTACCTGTGCCCCAGCGCAAACGTGTGCAGAGTCTGTTTTGCGTGCCTGTGTCGCTTTGATGACCTCGTCTGATGTCTCGCTTGCGGCCTGGCATGGTAGCGTCGCTCGGAAAGTCTGGTGCCAGACAGGGTTTACGATCGTTCAGCCGACTCAGCCGCAAGAAACTTGCACTTAAGCCCAAAACGCGCACTATGACTATGACTCAGATCGGGCTACTAAGTGACTGTTCACTTCGGACTGCCGGCTCTGCAGACCGCAAAATCAAAATGAAAGGGCCGGAAAGAAGCACGAAGGTGTAGTAATGGAAGATTATAGAACCGAACCCCCTAATAACAAATTCAAACAGTTTTCGCGCGGGGTCAATGCTCAATGTTATGGAGGGGCAAGGGCGTTTAATGGTGCGGGGAGAGGGGTCACTACTGATTCTCATCATCCGTAGCTACTGCCACTGCCACTGCCACAGATACCGCTACTGCTGCTGCTACCTCCTCCTCCTCCTCCTCCTCCTCCTCCTCCTCCTCCTGCTCCTCCTCTTCCTGATGCTGCTGCTGCCGCACAGCTGTTCCTGACAGAATGAGGATGAGGACGACTACTACGTAAAGTGGTGCCTTCAAGGAGGGCCTGAAACCCATCGCTTTGTCCGAAGATCATGGAATAAGGCCATTAGATTCAGTTTGTCTGTCGATGCATGCTGCTTCGGTTCTATGCTAAGTAGCAGTAGAGCTTGCCAGCAGAAGACTTGCAGGCACACAGCAATACGGAGTGCTGACAACCACAACGACAACCACAACAACGACGCAACAACAACAACAACAAAAAAAAACAGAAAAAAAACAAAAAACAAGAACAACAACAACAACCACAACAACCACAACAACAACAACAACCAAGAAAGAAAGCAACCAAA